GATGTCAGCACATGAAGTTTGGAATATAATTAGACCTAATTTTAAAACATTACTTTCTCAAGACACTTGGGGTAGGTTTTACACGTATCATGAAATAGGAGAAAATGGGTAGATGGCATTAGCTAGGGTAGTGTCTATCGACTGTATATTAATTTAATATTTAATGATTGGTCCCTTTTGAAATGAAAACTAGGAAAAAGATGATACGAAGATAAAGATTAAAAAATAATAATAAATTGACTGGGTATTATACATCAAAAAAAGATAGAGGAGAAATTCACACATCGCTGGCAAGGCAAAGTTTCAACCCTATCCTCATACTTTAATAACACTAAAATAAAACTACTAAAACCATTATATTTATACATATTAATGCTACAATAAAAAAGAAATATATAGCTATTACTAAAAAAATTATATGTATATTGTAACAAAATAGATAGGAATATGTTTGGAAAATCTTATTTAAAATATAGGACCAAAGGTATAACCATCAAAGTGGGAACCTTACTAATACTTACCGCTTTTGGTCAAGTGGCTACCGTTCTATGTTCATCATAAAAAATTATTTTAATAACATAAAAATTAATTTATATATCAGTTAAAAAATATAAAATTATACTTAACTCATAAAAAAATTATTTTATTATTTTAATTTTACTGTTAAGGAGAAATTTGTTTAAACAAACCCTAAATAATACAATACATAAATAAATAAATAGCTCATACTACTATATATCTTAATCATTATATTTTTTTTAATTTGTTTTTTTTTCAAGATTTTGTATCGACATTTTTACTGAAATAAAATACTTTTAATTTTATTTATTATATTTCTATAGATGTATACTAATTAATATTTATTAGTAATACTAGTGATATTTTATAAAATTAGTAGCAATAATTATATGTTATTTATACACTTAATAATCACGTATATATTTATATATTGTAAATTACATAAATATATTAGAAGAAGATGAATTAAAAATATACTATGTAATATAAGTATTTTTAAAATAAAAAATGTAAAAAAAATATTTTTAGTTTAAATTAGTTTATATATAAGTTAAAAATAATAAAATTTAAGAAATTATGTAAGAGATTTTTTTAAATTAAAGTTAATTATAACTTATGCAACTCTCGTATTAATTATCATAAAATCTATTAAATAATTCACAAAAGATTAATAAAGAAACTTGATATGAATGTAAAGGAAATCGGGATGATGAATTGCTGAGAATTAATAATTTTACACAGAACTTGAGAAAAATCAAACGTGTGTGTATATATATATATTGATTTTATTATATATTCATGCGTATTAAAACGTAAACTAGTTTTCTCTTATTTTAAAAATTAAAGAATTGGATAAAAATAAAATAAACAAAGACATAATAGTTATTGATAATTTTCCTTTTTTTATTAAACACATAATCATTCAAAAATTTACTCTCTTTTTTTCTCTATTTCAGTTCAAATTATTTTCTTAAATTTGTCACTTATTTTTTACTTTTATCTTCTAATTTCCTTGATTTCCATTATTAATCAATTAGTTATTTTCTATACATTTTTTTATAAAAAAATATTTATTTATTTTAAATGATTTCTTATAAATTTTAAAAGATTTCACAAAAATATTTACATAAAATATGAGAATTTGCAATAATGTCTGTTCACTCGTAACAAAGGCTAAAATACGCCTAGAATACTAGAAGCGTTGATCGAACAATCTTTTTTAAGTTAGAAAAAAAGGAAAACATTAGAACGAAAGAGTATTTCGAAGAAAAAAAAAACACACACAGAAGCTGAATTGAAGCTACTCAAGAAACATTTTTGTTTTTCAAATTATATATATAACTTTGAAATAAATTTCGTATTGCCATTTTTTAAGAAAAATAAAAAAAACTAATCGAGGTCATATATTATATAATTTTTATAATCACTATATAAGACTATAGTTTATCTCAACTAAAACTAATTTTTAGGGTTTGTCCAAAGTGAAAACAGTTCCAATAGCCATTGGATAAACAATTTAGTTTTTTTTTAATTTAATTTTTTATAGTGAATAAAAAATTGAAATTGAAATTGAAATTAAACTATAAGACTATAGTTTATCTCAACTAAAGAACAATGAATATGTTTACCCTACATCAATAAAAATTGAAAATGTTTATATAAAATAATAAATATGAAAACTAAGCTTCAGAAGGTATAATAACATTTTCTTTAACAAAATTTAATTACTTGAACCAAAATAACATTATATTAATTGAATTAGTTCAATTCAAATCAATTATTATATATATATTTTTAATCTGGAGCGAAACAAATAATTAATATGATTAATTCGTATTGGATTTTACCCTATATTATCCTAAAAAATATATAAATCCTATGAACATCCACAATAATATAATATATTTAAGTGTTTATAAAATAATCTTTTAAAGAATTATGTTATTCTTAATTTCCAAAATGAAATTCTTTAAAATTAGCATGATTTTAAATATTTTAAAAAAATCATACATAAACTAACTATACATATATTTTAAAATAACTTCCAGTAGAGTATCTCAAAATAGAATTTTTAGGAAAAATTGTTTAAAAATAAATATGAATATTTTATCATAGGTATCAAGGTGAGTGGTTTAAAATTTTATTAGAGTAACTTATATAAATAATTTTTTCTTATTTTAAATAGGAAAATTTATAATAAAATATTATTTTTAACCTAACAATGTTCATGATACACAAAATATTTGTTAGTTGAGAAGAAAATTGGAACACCCAACATGTTTATATGTAAGAATACCAGCATCATTATTTGTGTAACTATTTTTACTTACACTCCTAACCACATATTTATAATATTCTGGTATCCTCACTGATACTCAAATCCTTCCATATTCAAATTTATCACCTTTAACTATCTTTTTAACTGTTAATATATTTTCAAAAACATTCAATGCAAAATTTGAAATCCACCAAGAACTCAATCCTAAACATTTAGGTTTTCATTAGGGTCAACATCACGTTGATGATTCTGTGAGTTGGGGAACAGCTTATAATAAACAAATGAAATAAAATTATATATATATTTCCGTTTTGAGGCCTACTTTTTCAGTTTCATCTCTGAAAATTAAATTTGCACATCACGTTACGTTTTCATCCTTTTGGAGAAAAACCCCAGTTTCCATTCGCTTTCACTTCTCTGAAATTGTCAGTTTATAGCCATTCGAGTATTGATTAATTCCATGGCTGTTTCCAAATAACAAAAATTGTGAACTTCAATATCGTATATACAATTTTAGCGCTAATTGTTTTTAATAGAAATAAACTTATAAATAGTAATCGTTTTAAAATAGAAAAAGCATAGTACATTGCTAATTTTAATCTTCCATTTTCTTCTGCAAATAAATTATTCCTCAACATTATCCTTTTTCTCTCGTAATTAATACCTTCATTCCTTTTCTATCAAATTTGTTTCTACTTATACATATATTCAGACACTAAGGTATGGTGTCACAGATTCATCTCAGAATTTCATTTTCATTCACAATTCTTTTATGGATCTTATTGCTTTGAAACTCTACTAAGTTTATTATTATTATTCACTGATCTTCATTAGAGTTTTGATTGATATTTTTCTTTTATCAATAAAATGCACTAGAATTTCACTTGAAAAAATTTAGCTGGCAGAAGAAGATAATGAGGAATCCAATTCATTTCCAACTGTAGCAACATGTCTTCAGTTTTCACATTATTATTAAACACTTGCATATTGTTATTAATTATGTTCTTCTCATCGGACCTAACCAATCGATTGAAATGTAGTGTCTGGTTCAAAGTTTCTAAAACATAGGATTTCATTTAGTTCACGTAAATAAATTAATTATGTTCTTCTCATAGGATTTCTAAATTATGTTCTTTTCAACCTATTTATTCTAAAATTATATTTTTTTCAAGAGATTTATAGTTGTCAATGAATTTTATTTATTATTAGTAAACTTTAATATGATATATTAGATTTGTTTATATGATAACTTATGCTATTTTTAAGTGAAATTTAAATGTAAATTTTATATATATTATTATTTTATTAATGATATATTATATTATTATATTTTAAAATAAAAAATAATGTTTTATTAAAACTCATTACTGCTGTACTCTAATTGAACATTCAAATCTTGCATTCATCTTTTTCACCTTATTTCGATTACTGGTCAAATTGTGAAAATCCTGATTATTAACGAATTTAAAAGGAGTTAATATAATTACCTTTAAATATTTATTATAAAAATTAATAAATGCATTACTACAATTAATAATTAAATTAGATGGTTGAACAAAAATTTATTCATTGTAATAAAATTCACATATTACAATTGCGTGTACAGAACAGCTAGCACATGCTATTCAAACTTAATAAACTGATTCAAATTTGAATAAATATATAACTGCATTAAACACTCAAAATAAAGTTTTTGTCCCTTGCAATAATATAGTTAAATTTAAGCATATTTATTTATTTATCTCCGAAACTTTAACCCGTAAAAGTAGGCAACGTAGTAATAATCTTATTTAAAAAAAAAAAAAAAAAAAAAGCGTTTTGAGAGAAAAAGAATGAACGTAGAAACACAAAGTGCTTATTCGTATTACATTCATTCATTCATTCATTCAATACACACAAACAGTCCACTCATCGTCCATTCGTTTCACAGAAAAACACAGTCAAGCAAGAATCAAACACAAGAACGCGATTCCACCACCACACTCTTCTCTCTCTTTTTCTTCTTCTCTTCAATTCTTTCACCATGTCTCTCTCTCTTCACACGCTCTCGTTTAAATAATAACGCGTCTTTCTCTTCCTTTATGCTCTCACACCACCCCATGGAGACGCATAACACCACCATATAACAAAAACAACCCCACCACCTTTTACGACAAACACAAACCCTTCAGTTTCAGTTTCTTTCTGGTTCATCAATCAAACAATGGCGAACTGGGCAAACCTAGTTCAGAACTGCGTTTCCAAGAAACAGAACAAACAACTCTCAAGACTCTACCTTCTCACCTTCACCACCTTCCTCTGCACCATCTTCTACCTCCTCGGCCTCTGGCAACACTCCCCGCCGTCACTCGCCGCCGTCTCCGCCGCCACCAATCTCGCTGGCCGACGCAACTGCGCAGACCCAACTTCCAATTTCCTCTCCCACCCCATTTCCAAATCAACTTTAAATTTCTCCGCCACCCATTACTATCCCGATCCTGTGGAGACGGCCAGTGAGTTCCACGCGCCGCCTTGCAATGCGTCGTTGTCGGAGTACACGCCCTGCGAGGACGTGCAGCGGTCGCTGCCCTTCCCCCGCGAGAATCTGATCTACCGCGAGCGGCACTGCCCCACGGAGGCGGAGATGCTCCGGTGCCGTATTCCGGCTCCTTTCGGGTACCGCGTTCCGCTTCGGTGGCCGGCTAGCCGCGACGCCGCGTGGTTCGCCAACGTGCCGCACAAGGAGCTGACAGTGGAGAAGAAGAACCAGAACTGGGTCCGGGTCGAGGGTGACCTGTTCAAGTTCCCCGGTGGTGGGACCATGTTTCCACGTGGCGCAAGCGCTTACATCGATGACATCGGGAAACACATTGATCTCAAAGATGGGTCCATCCGAACCGCCTTAGACACTGGCTGTGGGGTACGTGTTTCCTTGATCCGGTTCGGTTTTTTAGAGTTTCATTCTTTCACACAAGTTTTATTGTGTTTTCAGACCTTCAATTTTCGATTCAAATTGGTCTAAATTATTCTATTTCAAAATAATGATTTTGAATACCATATTTTTTACTCAATAACAGTGAATTTCGGTTTTTTTCTTCAATTTTAAGACTACTACAAATTTATCTTTTTAGATATATGAATTAAAAATCAATTTTTGATTGAAAATTGAGAAACCAGAATCACATTTTTCACTTTATTTTGTTTTGTTTTCTGTCAAAGCTTCCGTTTTTGGTTTATTTTGGTTTCTGGTGAACCGGGCGGTTCAACTATTTTTCATTGGTGGTTTAACAACTATAGAATAATGGATCCAGGGCAGGAATGTGATTGGGTCCACCCTTGACCAATTTGGTTTTTTTGGGAAAAGATCAACTCTTTTTCTGGTATTGGTAATAATGTAAAATTTTGTCTTATTTGGAATGTTTTGAAAAGAGAATGAGGATGAATCGGGATTGTAAATCACTTATACGTTACATATTCTTTCCTTTGATGCTTTCAGAAAATGCTTTTTTATGGACTATTTTATTTGAGAGATCAAGTGGGTGAAAGAAAAAAAAAAAGGATAGAAGACTGATTAATATTAAATCCCGCAACTTTTGTTTCGACATGTTCTTGTAATTTTTTAAAATATATTTTTAGTTTTCTCCGTTTGACTCTCATTTTTAAACGCTTAATATTTAATAATTTTTTTAATATATGATCATGATCTCTTTGTGAATGCCACGTTTCTGGTGTACGATGTTGGTTGAGTTGGATGTCTTATCCTCTACCGGTGACGAAATTTTCCTTGGATTTATATAATCTGAAGGAACCGGCATAATTAGATGAGAATGGAAGTTAATAGATAAGAATTTAATGGATGATGTTAGAGACATTGAAAATTGGAACTATGAATTTGTCAACTTGTGGAGAGAGGAAAGTGAAATGGGAATCACGTAGAACTAGTTTGCAAAACAATCTACTTAATTCTTCATACCGAAGTAAAGTGCCGTCTTGGCTAAGAAAAAGAAAAGTACTTGGCACTTGGTGAAGCATACATTTTTCTTTCTTGTCTTATTCATTTGGATTGAAATACTAAATGTGTTCTCCAATTCAATTGGTGCTAACCATAGTGATAAAATTCTTGGAATTCATCTTTCTCGTTGAAGAATTAGTGGAAAGCACAATCTTGATAATGGATCTAGGTGTGGATTCCTAACCAACCGTCACAATTATGCTTCCATCTCCTGATTTACAAGTTACATAATCAAACTTCATTATTATAGAAGAAGACAATTTGATTGGACCCCACAAGCTTATTTCTCATGGTTTTCAAACATGTTCCATTTGGAGATTTTAAACACAGCATAAACTACTACTATTATTGGGATGTTTAATTACCAGAAGAAGATCATTTTTGTGCGAGAAATTATTCACTTGGCCTGATTTTATGATTTGATTATACTACTCAGGTTGCAAGTTGGGGGGCATATCTTCTGTCACGAGACATTTTAGCAGTGTCATTTGCACCAAGAGATACACATGAAGCTCAAGTTCAATTTGCTCTTGAACGAGGAGTTCCTGCATTGATAGGAGTTCTTGCCTCAATTAGGCTTCCCTACCCTTCAAGGGCCTTTGACATGGCCCACTGCTCACGTTGCCTCATTCCCTGGGGCCTCAGTGGTACATATACATGCTTCAAAACTTGTGTGAATATATTTTTTATGTGCACATTTTTAGGAAGATACTAATTTTGTTTGTGATTTTGCAATGGTGATTGGCAGATGGGATTTATTTGACTGAAGTTGATCGAGTGCTGCGTCCTGGTGGGTACTGGATTCTTTCAGGGCCACCAATAAACTGGGAGAGCCACTGGAAAGGTTGGGACAGGACTCGTGAGAGTCTCAAAGAGGAGCAGGATACAATAGAGAAAGTGGCAAAAAGCCTATGCTGGAAAAAATTGGTGCAAAAGGGTGACCTTGCCATATGGCAGAAGCCCACCAATCATATACATTGCAAAATAACAAGAAAAGTCTTCAAGAATAGACCCTTTTGTGAGGCAAAGGATCCAGACACAGCATGGTAATACGGCTTTTTTTTTTCGTTTTACATTTAATGTCTTGAAAACTATAACTGCAGTAGCAATCTTTTGATTGCTAAAATGTGTTTTAGGTCTATGAATTTTTTTATCAAGCTAGACTCGCATCACTGTCACTTTTAGTTCCGTGTGCTACTGATTTTGCTTTTCAGCCTATAGCTTTTTCAGTTTCTCTTTTCTAAGGATAAAAAGATTATGCTTGCTGCCAATGAGAGTTTAGTAGTGATACCAAAACCGCTTGGATGATAAAGTTTTCAAAGTGTCTAGTCAGTGCAACCATAATCTAGCCACCCAAGCTTGTGTTGCTTTTTCCATCTTGTTTCTCACTCCATTCCTTTAGCTTCCTGAATCTAACTGATTATCCCAAAAGAGAAGATTCTGTCTGGGCCCCTAATGTTAAATTTTTTTTTTTACATGCTTTATTTTTACCTTTTTCACTCTGGTATGCTTCCTTCAACATTCTTTTTCGTTGTCAGGTACACAAAAATGGATACCTGCTTGACACCACTGCCAGAGGTGAATGACATCAGAGAAGTTAGTGGTGGCCAATTGTCAAATTGGCCTGAGAGATTAACATCAGTTCCGCCAAGGATTAGTAGTGGAAGCTTGAAGGGTGTCACGGTTGACATGTTTAATGAAAACACTGAGTTATGGAAGAAGAGAGTAGCATACTACAAGACCCTGGACTATCAGCTAGCAGAGCGTGGCAGATACCGTAATCTGCTTGATATGAACGCTTACTTGGGAGGCTTTGCAGCTGCACTCATTGATGATCCTGTGTGGGTCATGAACACTGTCCCTGTTGAGGCTGAGTTCAACACGCTTGGTGCCATATATGAACGTGGATTGATTGGAACCTACCAAAACTGGTATGTCATTTGCTAAATGGTAAATTAGTGGGGGGTTTCATTCCAGGAAAAAGTAGAATATAGTTGGGCAGAAAGTAGCTTTCTGATTGACTGAATAGATTAGAAGCATATTTTACTTTGACAATTTTAAATTTCTTTATTATGGATTGGTATAAGTGGGGTTATATAAACTTAATTTAATTAAAAGTAAATTGTGATCTTAACCAACTAAATCAATGATGGATGCAATTTTACTAGTGCACTTTACTAAAAAGTTAATTTTAGAGGGACTTTTTCTTGAATTATACTCAAGGACCCCCTAATAGCACAAGCTTAATTGCTGTACTCAAGTGCTACCAACTTTTGTCCTTTACTATAGACAGGACACTGTTATACAGATACACTTGCTTTCAATATATTATTATCAATGATTTAGAAACCGAGTCATTGTCTTACACTTTTCAGCACATGGAAGTTGAAGTTTATTACTAACTACTTTTGTTTCCAGGTGTGAAGCCATGTCCACATACCCAAGAACTTATGACTTCATACATGGTGATTCGGTTTTTAGCCTCTACCAAAACAGGTATTTGTCAATTTGGTCTGCTAAAAAATATTACAGGGACAGCACCTCTGGTCTTACTGTGCATTTTGAGAATTGACTGATAACTGTTTCAACATTAATTCGATACTTTCAAAGTTTTTACATAGTACACTATTTCAACAGTTGATTCAATGGTTTGAAAACTGACAAATAACTACTTGAATAGTGGTTCAATAATTTTAGAATTGATCAATAACTATTTGAACATTGTCTAAAATTATGAAAGTAATCTGCCACAGGTGTAAAATGGAGGACATTCTGCTTGAGATGGATAGAATTTTGCGGCCACAAGGCAGTGTGATCTTGCGTGATGATGTGGATGTGTTGTTGAAGGTGAAGAATTTTGCTGATGCAATGCAGTGGGATTCCAGAATTGCAGACCATGAAAAGGGGCCTCATCAGAGAGAAAAGATATTCTTTGCTGTTAAGCAATACTGGACTGCCCCATCCCCTGACCAAAATCCAATGTAGAAAGCTAGCTCTAAATTCATCTTCTTTCTGGCTCAAGATTTGTGTAATTTTTTATTTCATGTCCAGAAATTTTTTCAGAATTCTATTCTTTTCCAACCCCTGCAAAGTCAAATTTTTCTTTACAGCAATTATGGTTTCTTAAATTTTTTACTTTTGGGTAACTTATCTGTTGTAAACTTCAGCCCTTATAGTTTTAAAAGAATGAATTCAATTTTTCAATTGGAGTATTTTGTTATATCTAAATTTATTTAAATTTAACATTTAACAAATATTTTTCATCATCATAAAATTGATAAAAAAAAATTCATAGAGTAGTTAATTTATTTTTAACATACAAGGACCAAAATTAAACTACTGGATAATAAACACTTTTAAAACCTTTTTATTTTAATGATTGAACTTTTGGTCCATTAGAAATTGATTAATAGAAGGAAATTATTTTTATCAACTATAATTATATTTATATAGTAAATGATTATAGAAGTTAAAATTAGTAGAAAAATGTGGTAAAATCTATTTTTCTTAAGAAAATATTACGTTTAGAATATGCAAATTAATAGAATCATATTCATACTCGTCAATTAAAGAATAATTGACGTGTCAATAGAAAAATACTGATAAGAAATATATACTTTAATCGTTATTAATTGTTTTTAATTATTTAATAAAAATAGAGAAAACAAATACCGATTTGAATGAATAAATGAATGGCATACGCGGGTAATAGTGTGAAAAATGTTTTTCACTTTGAAGACATGTTAATTCTTTTTTATTAATTATGTGATTTTGGTATATTCTTAAAAGCATGAAAATAACAATATATAACCCCCTAAGTAATGGTATCAAGAATGACGAGTGCACGTGAAACGACACAATGGACACGTACCATTATGCACAAACCATTGTATAATGCAATCGTAATGACAGATATGAGAACAAGGTAACCTTGATCCATTATCACCACAATTGAACTCTTCGTGACATATGAAACAACTACCTCTTTCATCTTCAATCCTTAACTTTTGAAGCGTTGTGGCTCCCGCAGGTAAAGACTGTTCTCCACCTTCATAAGCCATGTTTTGCACGAACTCTCTTGATTGAACAGTTTCATCGTCAAGCAAACCGGTAGTGTTCACCACATTGTAAAAATAACTGCCCTTGAATAATGCAGCAAACACATAGAAATAATCTCTTTCAACCCCAGAATGCTGCAATATTGAGTCACGTAACATTCTAGACAAATTCGCTATCATGTCACAATCATGGGAGTTCAAAAAAGATGGTGATAAACCTGCTTTAGCAAGGAACGTCTCTAAGAACTCTTGCCGAAAAGATGGATAAGAAAAGAAGTCACGGTAAATATCTGAGTTCGGCCTAGAAACTCTAACTCCACCCAATGTATCTGCAGTCTCAACAACTACAGTTATATTCACTTTATCATTGCATGAAATGTAAGTTCCAGCATCAGAGAAGAATGTTTGTTGAAATTCTGGTGTCATGTTCATCGAGTGAGGAGGTTGGTAAAAAAGTTTTGTGTGTTTGCAGAAAGGAATAACTTTGAACTCTTAAAAACTTTTCCAATCATTTTTCAACATATGTACACGTTGATGTTAGATTATAATGAAATTCTGAACACCTAATTTTGGGGTTTAATTGTTGTAATTAATATGATGAAAGGGTTGCAAGTTTTCAAGGGTTATACACTTTCAAGAGCTTCTTCTATAGCATGTAGTAGGTTTTCACCAAAGCTGCTGATTCCATCCATGTTTTGTTTGGAACAGTTGCAAAGGTTCCAATCTGGAACGTAATATGGTGAAAACATACGTTGTTTACTTATATTAGTTCAATTGACTTTGACATTCCCAAGTAGCTTACATTTTACTATAATTCATAAAATATAATTAATCTATCATGTAAAAATATTATACTAATTAATCCTAATCATATATTAAAATTACAGTTATAAAACAAATTGATTATACAAATCATTATCACGAAAGATTAATATATATTGGTCCAGAAAGTGTAAGGTTATAGAGGATTTAATTTCTTAATAATCATATACATATTTACTCAAACTATGATTAAACATTAAACCCATCGCATGCTACTCACTTATAGCCTCCAATTTATTTATTAAATTTTAATTAATATAAAATTTAATTATATCAACGTTAACTTTTGCATAAACTAATGAAATATATTTTTTGAATTCAAACTTTTAATGTAAATCCAATGAAAATGACACAATATTATTCAAAACAAGAAACATGTTTGTAAACTATAATAATAACATTGAAAATTATAATTTAAAGAGTAAGAGGTAATTATCATAAGATCTTCGTTGAAAACAATTAATATGAAAACATGAATGTATAATGTTAATATGATACTGTACGCGATCATAATTTTATAAATAGGATATCACATTCTATATTTGTCTCTGTAATTTATGTAAAAAAAAATTATATTAATTATATAAGAGATTTATCTAATATTTTTTATCAAAAAATAATTTATTAATATAAATTAATTTGGAATGATGATAAATTAATTCAACTCCTCCAAAGTCTTATCAATATTGGGTGTTCTTATTCCTCTTTTCTGTCCATTAAAATTTTGGCGACAAATTTCAAGTTTTTATTATTAAATTTATTACTATATAATAACTATTAATTTTGGGTATTTTTTTCTTTCAAGTAGAAGAGTTCATAGATGTTAAAATTTCACAAAGATTTAGTAGTAGAAAGAAACAACGATTAAAAGAAGTAAAGTTCAAAATTTTGTCTTTTGAGATAAAAATAGTTTGAATAGAAAACTCTTACATTTTAAATTTTATTTCTAATTAATCGTTATATTTTTAGACTCTAAATCTTTTTATTTTTTTCTAAAGTTTCCTTAATTACACAATTTTTATCTTTTTCTAGATCCAAGTATATTTACATGTGTGAATTCGAGTCTTGCATATGATCTTAGTGGGGTAAAGATAAACTTTGACTAATTTATGAATATTGTAATAGATTCGATTTGTTGATTGAAGTTTTATGTGAGTAGAATCTGACTCCCTAAGAAACTAGATATTTGGAGTTTTCAAGTTTGAGAATACTAAAATTGGGAGGTAAGAAAAATTAGAAAAAATTGAGTATCGCTTAAGTTAGAAAATTTTCGCTCAAGTTAAAATTTTCCTGAAAAGAAGGTGATTCTCGAATGTGTTTTTGCTCAAGCGAAATTTTTTATAATTTTTTTGTCCAAACTTCTAAAAATCATAAAAAATAGCTCATAATTCTAAATCTAAGGTTCCATATATGCATATCGAATCTCAAAAAATAAGGAATCTAATGAAATAAGAATTAGTAAAAAATGATATTTGTAGAAAAGGTTACGACCAAAATAATAGCCATAGGTTAAATCCCACAAATTTATTCTTTGCTGAAATATAAGAAAATGATATATACATAATTTAGGATAACAAAATACATGTATTTAACATGAAATAATGTGTGTTGGGTGCTAATATATGTATAGAAAAAATATATTGTTGTAATGTGAGAAATATCATGTATTATCCTATATGTATATTATCTCTGCAATGAATTGATGAAGGTAACATAGTAGTTTCCAAGAAAGAGATACTATGTTGAGATATAATTGAGATTTTGAAGGGGATATCTATACTGGACTCATGTAAAGAAAAATATCAAGTGATGAGAGTTGAAGGAGGTCTATATAACTTAGTTTGTGATGTGAAAAAGAATTATATCTAGCAAGTCATAGAGATTTACCTTGCCACATGAAAAAACGTGTTTCAATTATGTATCTATGTTAGAGATATCTATCTAGGAAAGATAGTATACCTGATGCAAATTTCTAAGTATAATTTAATGCATGAGAGTCTCCGAAAATAGAGTCAAGTGTCTATGATTGTGAAAGTCGGTATATGATGACATGAGATGTAGCTTACATATTGATATGTTAGACACTTGATTTGTTGTATAGTTGTGATATTTGATTATTTATTCAAACGTGAATATTGAGAATATTTTGTGATAGTCATATGAATAAAGAATTTTATCACTAACTTATCTTAATTTGTGTGATATGTTAATTTGAATTGCGGTGAATATATTATTATATGTAAATATTAATATTTCGAGTGATTATAAGCTGATAAACATTTAAATTAATTTGTTAAAAAAATGTATAAAAAAACTATGTAATAGGATAATATTTCTCCTTAAATACAAGTGATTGTAAATAAGTTAATGTAATTATATCTTAAATATTTTTAAATCTGATGTATGTAATGTTCGTTACATCACCTATAAGACTTTCGGCTTATATATTTCGGGTTAAGTTAATTTTTTTAATCAACAAAATAAATTAAATTTTGGGTAAAATAATAAGGTAGAAAACACTTTAAGAACTTTTTCATTTTAATGATTGAACTTTTTGTCTATTTTATAAATTTATTAATAAAAGTAAATACTTTTATCAACTATAATTATATTTACAGTAAATTATTATAGAAGTAAAATTAGTAGAAAAAAATGGTAAAATTCATTTTTCTAAAGAAAATATTACGTTTAGAATATACATATTAATAGGTCATAGTCAATATTCATCAATTAAAGAATAACTGTCATTAAAAAAAATAGTAATAAGAAAAAGATACTTTAATCGTTATTAATTATTTATAATTATTTAATAAAAATAGACAAAACAATATATATTTGAATAAATAAATGAATAGCATACGCGGCTCCATATTATTTTTTATATGCTAATTATAAATCAAATAGATGATACCAATGTGATTTGTTTAAATCAATAAAACTATAATGCATAGTATTTTTTTTCATAATAGTGTGATAAAAAATTTCACTTTCAAGACATTTATTCTTTATTATTTATTTATTAAATAAAAAAAATTATTTATTTAATTTATACATCCAATCCATAAAATTAAACCTAGTAATAATCTAATTTATGAAAGAATTAGAATATCTTAAACTTTATCTATACAAGAGTTTGAAGAAAAAAATCTAAATTTACATACTTTAAACATTATATAAAATATTGATTTAAAGCAATAAATAAGTATAATATATTTTACAATGGTATGATTATTAATATCTTAAAATTTTAAATTTATTTTTAAATAAATATTTATATCTAATTTTTTTTAATAATATTATTTGCTAAATTTAAAATAAATGTGTCAGTAACGGACCAGAAATATTAAATGGTCCAAAAACCAGAGAAATTGGAAACCTATCACATCAGATCCTGCCACTTTCCTTCCACAGTCTATCTCCCTCTCACTCTGTTCCCACCAACACTTCTTCGTCAAAATCACAATAAAGAAAGTTACTTACTTCTATGAAAAATCTTCACTCCCTTCATTCCACCATAAAACAAAACCAGAGAAAGAAAAAAACAACCACACCGACTAAGCATTCAAAGCAACCCATCACGATTCCCACGTAAAACACCGATTTTTACCGCGGAAATCTGAGACCCATATGAGACTCTGAACCTATCCATCATTTTCCTCAAATGGGTCACTCCAATTCTTCATCGCCGTCTAAGCGCATCCACACGCGACAGTGGCGGCTCCTGGACCTTGTCTCCGGCGTGTTATTTTTTCTTGTGCTGCTCTTCTTCGCCATGGTCTTCACCCCGCTCGGCGACTCGCTCGCCGCCTCCGGCCGCCAGACTTTACTCCTCTCCGGTGCAGACCCCCGGCAGCGCAACATGCTTGTGGCGGCGGTCGAGACGTTGGGGCGCGGCGTGGAGGCGTGCCCCGCCGATACGGCGGACTACATGCCGTGCGAGGATCCGAGGCTGAACAGCCAGCTGAGCAGGGAGATGAACTACTACAGGGAGAGGCATTGCCCAAGGCTGGAGGACTCCCCACTCTGCTTGATTCCGCCGCCGAGAGGGTACCGGGTACCGGTGCTGTGGCCCGAGAGCTTGCTCAAGGTGTGTGTTTGTTTTGTTTTTATGCTGAGTGAACTTTGGAGTGTTGGTGAATGTTTGTTTTGTTTATGATTTTTTTTTTTTTAATGAATTTAGGGTCCTTGTCGATAAACAACTTAAGTATGAACAATTGAATAAGTCTTGGATAGATTTCTCAAGGAATACTTTTAAGAAAAGAAGCTAAGCATCTTCCATTAGATCAAAATAGTTTACACTTAAAGCTGGATTGTAGAAGTTCTCATTTTAGCTTCTCCAAAAGTTGATTTTAACTGAGTAACCCAATGACTGACACCTAAGTAACTAATTAATATTACAAAGTGGACATGGGTCCTCAATTAACTGACCTATCATTTTCATAAGCTGTCAAGAGAGTCGTTCAGCAGGATGCTTGAGTTGATGTAAGTGTTCAATTCCTATAGGAAAAAAAAACACTTACGTAAATCAATGTCCAAATAAGTTCAAGCAAGTTGTAAATAATCTATATTTAGCAGACCCACCCTTACATTGGTTTTCGTAATAATTATTCAAAAGTCGTGTATGGAGTAATTGTGAATGTTCATACTTATTATGTATCAAAATAAATCCCTTTTTAAATTCGGGTGTTTAGTTATTGTGTATGTTGACTTAGAGGAAAGGACTAAGGAGCTTGTTTTTGTGGATTTAAAGTTTAGAATGGGATGGGGCTCTTTGGTCGGGTTTATATTGGTAGTGTTTATGGTCCTTTAAGTGTTTAGGGAAGAAACTTGCATTTTCAGCTGCTTTTGGATCTTGGACCTCGTTGCCAGTATGAATCTTAATAGTTGATGTTTATTGGTGGTTGAAATAATAAAGTAATTCTGCTCTTTGTTGTGGAAGAGTTCATAATTTAATTGTCCAGACCAATATTACTTCATGATAAGATGTCAGTATGTTGTTTTTGAAGGAAGTCCCTTGATGGGTGTTTCTATTTAGAGCTCTTATTGATGTAACAAACCCACCCTTGATAGGTATCTCTAATTTAGAGTTCTTATTGATGTAAAAGAATGCGTTCATGTTTTTCAGCGGTGAAGTTGTGGCTACTAAGGCCACATCGTATTTATTTCTAGTATCTACTAGAAGGAAGAAAATTCCCTTTAGAATAGGAATTCAAATACTTTCGAAGTGGTCTCTTTGGTGATGATGTGACCATATCTTAATCATGATGTAAGGCTGACAGTCAAATTATAATTTAGTTTATAGTTTGATGAAATTGAGAAGTAGATGGTTGAGAGATGGAATGGGACAAAGGACAGAAAAGAGAAAAAGAGGGGTTAAATTAGATTCCTGTGATGTGATCAATTTACTTTTATCTAAAGCTTTGTTAAATAGTTGGTCTAAATAAATTGTTCTAGAGTAAATTTGTAATTCCTGATAGAGCTATGGCCAAAAGATGTCTAAGTAGTTGTGTATAAGGACACCTGGTCAATTGAGGTTCCCCTGTTAGCTTTCTGTAATAGAAGCTTCTCATAAAATATTTTTAAGAGAATGGATTGGAGATGGTAATGCCCGTAGTAGTTTTCTTCCTATATTTTCCATTTTGTCTCTTTCACATTTAACAAGGGTCATCTACAAGATATCCTATGCTCTAGTTTAGAATGATGATGAAATTTGTCACTCATGATTCATCTATCCAAAACATTGATAATATATTCTGCGCAGATATGGCACAGCAACGTGCCATACAACAAGATTGCTGACAGGAAAGGTCACCAGGGATGGATGAAACTAGAAGGTCAACACTTTATATTCCCTGGAGGTGGTACAATGTTTCCAGATGGAGCAGAGCAATATATTGAAAAACTTCGTCAATACATTCCAATAAGTGGAGGTGTTATGAGGACTGCACTTGACATGGGGTGTGGGGTGAGAGCTGTTATACTGTTTTCCTTTGAGACCTTACTAGGATTAATTGTTGTTTAACATGCAAACGCATCCCATTTTTTTACAGGTTGCTAGTTTTGGAGGATTTTTGCTATCTCACGATATTTTAACCATGTCGTTTGCTCCAAGAGATTCTCATAAAGCTCAAATACAATTTGCCTTGGAAAGAGGAATACCGGCTTTTGTTGCTATGCTTGGTACTCGAAGACTCCCATTTCCTGCATTTGGATTTGACTTAGTTCATTGCTCTAGGTGTTTGATCCCATTTACAGCCTACAGTAAGTTCCATTGCAGCTCACTCGTCCCTAGCTTCCTAGCTTCTACATGCTTGTCACTTCCCTAATGCGACAAATCTGTCTTGCAGATGCCTCTTATTTCATTGAAGTGGACAGATTACTTCGCCCTGGTGGATATTTAGTTATCTCCGGTCCCCCTGTTCAGTGGCCTAAACAAGATAAAGAATGGTCTGATCTCCAGGCTGTGGCAAGAGCCTTGTGTTATGAACTGATTGCTGTAGATGGTAACACTGTGATCTGGAAGAAGCCTCCAGGAGAAACATGTCTTCCTAATGAAAATGAATTTGGTCTTCAGTTATGTGATGAATCTGATGATCCAAGTCAAGCTTGGTAATTTCCAGTAGACTGTTGCTAGTTCAAGTTATTTTGCCTCTTATTTTCAGTGCTTCTCTTTTTGTCTTGTGCAGCATCAGTGTATATCACAGGATGTATGCTGCCATTTTTAAAAGATCTGATTGATTATTTCAAAATTCAAATTTTAGTTGATTGTTTTACAGGTACTTCAAATTGAAGAAATGTGTCAGTAGGACATCTGTCAAAGGAGATTATGCTATTGGGGTCATTCCTAATTGGCCAATGAGGTTAACTGCAACACCTCCAAGATCCTCACTCCTGAAAAATGGTGTTGATTTGTATGAGGCTGACACTAAGAGATGGGTAAGGAGGGTGGCACACTATAAGAATTATCTACGGATCAAGTTGGACACTCGATCTGTACGCAATGTCATGGACATGAATGCATTATTTGGGGGTTTTGCTGCAGCATTAAAATCTGATCCTGTCTGGGTAATGAATGTTGTTCCTGCTCACAAGCCACCCACTCTTGATGTTATCTTTGACAGAGGCCTTATTGGAGTCTATCATGATTGGTGAGCTCTGATCTTTTCCCGTATCTTCTCTCAAAGGGATTATCCAGAATCTTTAGTGCTCTGATCTTTTGGCACATATCATGGAAAATGTACCTTCCCTTTTTAACTGATAACATGATTTGAAAATAGGATATGTTGTGGGAAATTTTGTGGTTTGCAATGATTATTGTCTTAAGACCGGAACACTTATTCATGTGGTATTTCAGCGGTTTCATGTTGTTTATAAGTTGCTTCCTTCCTGTACTCCAATTTTGACTAGTTTGTGTTGCTTATCGTTCTACTTCTGTTGAAAATTATAGATCTCGGCTGTATTATGGATCTGTCTGTGTGTGCACATAGATGTGCATGCTTGTATCTGAAACTCAGTGTGTGTCAAGCTAATTAATTTAGTTCTCATTTGAGATTTTTTTAGATCTAAATTTTATGTTAAACTGCTCAATTAAACAATAAGGCTTATTCACTTAAAAATTCAGTGGTAAGACTTGTGATTCTAGTGAGTCTTCTATGAAAAGGAGTAAGAATCTTCTAGATATCATTCTAAAATAAAATAAAAATTAAGCAGATAAGCTCTACTTTGAATTTTAATCTAGATCCTGCTTCTGTTCTTTAGTCTAGTTTTTTATTTAATATATTTGAATATGATTTTTCAATTTGTAATGATGAATTTTTTTTATCTAAACTTTATGGATATGTTCAAAGGTGTGAACCATTTTCAACATACCCCCGTAGCTATGATCTAATCCACGTGGCCAGCATTGAATCCCTTATAAAAGATCCAGCTTCTGATAAAAGCAGGTATTTTCAGTTTTAACTTCTTGTTAGATATGATTAGATATTAGTTGATATTATTTGATATTGTTGAGATATTGTTAGATATTGTTAATCACAATATCAAATAATATCTTTTATTTACCATATTTGTATTCTGTTACTCTTTTGAGGAGTACCTTTCTTTATTATAAATACACTGCCCTATGTGTGGTAAATACACAAGGGAAATTAACCCTATACCGTTTTTCCCTATATTCAACATGGTATCAAGAGCTTAAGGTCTCTTGGGATTTTTTTCGGCTCTGCCACTGAACCTGCAGCTGTCGCCGCCTCCGTCCGCCGCCGCCACCGTCGCCGGAGTAGCAGTTCGGACCGCCGAGCACAGGGTTTTGCTCGCCTCCTCCGTGCGACCTCCACCGTGGAAGTTTCGCGGTCATCGGAGCAGCCACGCTCCCTCACGCGCCTCCTGAAGCCGCGCCACCTTCTCCCGTTCCGCCGCGCGTGGCGGCGCGTCTCGCCGCCGTTCAGGCCGCCACTCTTTGCGCCGGCGTCGCCTCCTTCTCCTCTCTCTGGATCTGTCCTCGCTGCTCCAATCGGACCTCTTTGGTGTTTTAGGGTTTTTCTCTCTCTTCCTCCATGGCATCTTCCGCTGCCACTTCCAGTCTCGAAGTTACCTCTGTCGACTCCGGTGGGTCCGAGCAATCCGTTTTTAATTATTCATCCGCCTTGGCCTCTCACCGTGATGATCGTAATCGCTCTCACAAGCCGGGCAAAGGGCGTGTCAAGTGTGACCATTGTGGCAAACTAGGCCACAAAATTGACAAATGTTATGCTTTACATGGTTATCCTCGCCGATCTGCTGCAGCTTGCTCGGACCGATTCTTCCGCACAATCCTCTGCTGTGGATCCTCCTTCGTCCGTACCTTCGGACAAATCCGCTATCTTCAATGATTTTCTTCAATGGTATGAGGATCGAAAGCCCTCCAGTTCCACTACTTCATTGCCCACACAGGTACATCTTTTGCTTGGTCCGACTCACTCTTCTTCTATTGGCTCTTGGGTTCTTGACTCGGGCGCCACCGATCACATCACTGGTAACAAATCCTTATTTTCCTCTTTCACTTCTTCTCATAATTTACCCTCTGTTACAATGGCTAATGGGTCTACAACTTTAGCTCATGGTGTTGGAACGGTTACTCTTTTTCCCTCGTTGTCCATTGATAATGTTTTGTATGTACCGGGTTCCCCTTTAACTTATTATCCATTAGCCGTCTAACTCGATCTCTTGATTGTGTTATCTCTTTTACCAAAACTTCGTTTCCTTACGGGACCGGAGCTCGCAAAAAGTGATTGGCACCGGATGTGAGTCACATGGACTTTATTATCTTCAACCTTCTCCACATGTTGGCACGGTTATGGAGTCTCCTTCTCTCCTTCATGCTCAGCTTGGTCACCCCGGTCTGTGCAAATTACGGCAACTTGTTCCCGGCTTATCCCGAGTTGTCCGAGTTTGGTGTGTGAGTCCTGTCAATTAGGCAAACATAGTCGTACTTCCTTTTCTCGTAGTGTTTCCCGGCGTGCTTCATCCCCCTTTGCCTTAGTTCACTCGACATTTGGGGACCCGGTCGTGTTAAGTCTAATTTAGGTTTTCAATATTTTGTTACTTTCATTGATGATTTCTCTCGTTGTACTTGGTTATTTTTAATGAAAAATCGTTCGAGGTGTTTTCTATATTCCAAAACTTTTATCATGAAATTAAAAATCAATTTGGTGTCTCTATTCAAACTTTTCGAAGTGATAATGGCCGTGAATATCTTTCAAACTCGTTTAAACAATTTATGGCTTCTCATGGCATTCTTCATCAAACTTCCTGTGCTTATACCCCTCAACAAAATGGGGTGGTCGAGCGCAAGAATAGACACCTTATTGAAACAACCCGTACTCTTTTAATTCATGGTGCGGTTCCTCAACATTTTTGGGGTGATGCTTGTTCTTACTCGCTGTTATCTTATTAATCGTATGCCCTCTTCGGTTTTAGATAACAAAATTCCCCATTCTATTTTATTTCCTCATGACACTCTCCATCCTTTACCTCTGAAGGTTTTTGGGTCTACCTGTTTTGTCCACAATTTTGATCCTGGTCATGATAAGTTATCTCCTCGATCACACAAATGTGTTTTCTTAGGATTTACTCGATCCCAAAAAGGATACAAGTGTTTTTCTCCTTCTCTTAATCGCTATTTTGTGTCTGCCGATGTCACCTTCAATGAGTTTTCCTTTTACTTTAAGGACCCTTCCCTACCTGCTGAGTCTCCATCTGCTACAGTTCTCATTCTTGTTCTCATTGATCCTTATGTTGAGGACCATCCACCATTAGCCCCTCCTCCTCCACCACCCCTTCGGGTTTATAGTCGCAGACCTCGCCCACAACGAGACGCCACATGACTCACTCCCGGTGCCAAATACTCTGCCTCCTCCGGTTCAGTCCACGTAGTCCGACCTTCCTATTGCCCTTCGTAAAGGTACGCGTTCTACTCGTAATCCTTCTCCACATTATACTCGCTATTAGTTATCATCGAATTTCTTCACCATTTTATACCTGTCTCTCGTCTATTTCTTACGTGTCTATTCCTAAATCGTCTCTCGAAGCCTTAGCCCACCCTGGTTGGCGTCGAGGCCATGCTAGATGAACTCGGTGCTCTTCGGACTAGTGGAACCTGGACGCTTGTCCCATTACCATCCGGAAAATCTGTTGTTGGTTGCGGGTGGGTCTTCGCTATCAAGGTTGGTCCCGATGGTACTATTGATCGCCTCAAAGCTCGTCTTGTAGCCAAAGGCTATACCCAAATTTTTGGGTTGGATTATGGTGATACTTTCTCTCCGAGTGGCAAAGATGGCTTCGTTCGTTTATTCATTGCCATGGCCGCTATTCAACAATGGTCTCTTTATCAAGCTGGATGTCAAAAATGCTTTCTTGAATGACGATTTGCAAGAAGAGATTTATATGGAGCAACCTCCGGATTTGTTGCTCGGGGGAGCCTTCTAGATTGGTATGTCGTCTTCGCAAATCTTTATATGGCCTAAAACGAGTCTCCTAGGGCCTGGTTTGGCAAATTTAGCGACGTTGTTCAACAATTTGGCATGACTAGAAGTGAGGCGGACCACTCGGTCTTTTACCGATCACTCGAATCTCTGGATGTATCTATTTGATAGTGTATGTCGATGACATTGTTCTTACAGGTAGTGACCATCATGGCATCTCTCGAGATGAAACAACACCTTTGCCACCATTTTCAAACCAAAGATCTTGGCAAACTCGAGATATTTCTTGGGTATTGAGGTAGCACAATCTACCGATGGCATTGTTATATCTCAAAGAAAGTATGCATTGGATATTTTGGAGGAAGCTGGGTTGATGAATTCAAAGCACTGTTGACACACCCATGGATCCTAATACCAAACTCTTGCCAAATCGGGGGAGCCAATGTCGGATCCTGAACGAGTATAGAAGATTAGTTGGAAAATTAAATTATCTTACGAGTTACTCGCCACGACATTTCCTTTGCGGTCAGTGTGGTGAGTCAATTCCTCAATTCTCCTTGTCAAGATCATTGGAATGCGATCATCCGTATATTGAAGTACATCAAAAAGTCTCCTGGAAAAGGTTTGGTGTATGACTCCCATAATCATACAAGAGTTGTCTGCTATTCGGATGTCGATTGGGCGGGATCTCCCTCCGATAGAAGATCTACATCCGGGTATTGTGTTTCCATTGGTGGTAACTTGATCTCATGGAAAAGTAAGAAACAAAGTGTTGTGGCAAGATCCAGTGCGAAGCGAGTATAGAGCTATGGCCTCAGCTACCTGTGAACTTATTTGGCTCAAGCAATTGCTTAAAGAGCTACAATTTGGAGATGTCACTCAAATGACACTAGTGTGTGACAATCAGGCTGCTCTCCATATAAGCTCTAATCCTGTCTTTCATGAGAGGACTAAACACATTGAGATTGACTGTCATTTTATTCGAGAAAAGATTATGTCTGGAGACATCAAGACTGAGTTCGTTAACTCATGTGATCAATTAGCAGATATTTTCACTAAGTCTTTACGGGGACCTAGGATGGATTATCTTTGTACCAAGCTAGGCACATACGATTTGTATGCTCCAGCTTGAGGGGGAGTGTTAGATATGATTAGATATTAGTTGATATTATTTGATATTGTTGAGATATTGTTAGATATTGTTAATCACAATATCAAATAATATCTTTTATTTACCATATTTGTATTCTGTTACTCTTTTGAGGAGTACCTTTCTTTATTATAAATACACTGCCCTATGTGTGGTAAATACACAAGGGAAATTAACCCTATACCGTTTTTCCCTATATTCAACACTTCTAATATGATGTGACACCACTTCTGTATTGATTTGGGATATCTATTTTTTATATAAAGGGACTATACAATACCTTGGTGAATGTATTGAATTTGTAAATGAAAACTCATGGTCATTGCATAAAACATAGAGAACAAACAACGCAAGGGTAATAGAAAGAAACGTTGCTACTTGAACTAAGTTACACATATTATGTTAGGCATGTATGGAAGCATTTATCTTCACTGCTTGATTTGCCTTAGAACCGATGGTGGTATTGTGATATTCAATAGAAGCAATTTAGATTGTCAATTGATTTTCTTATGACTAATAGTGTTATCAATCTCTGTTTATTATGTCTTCACAGCTCCTTTGATACATTATTTTAATATAATTGTTTTTTACCCCAAGAATATGAATGTCTATGTCATTATATTGAATGCATTTAAACGTTTCAAACTTCAGAATTTTGAAAATGAATTATCTACTTATGCAACATGGTTATATTATTTTGATCAGTTTGAGCTCGTGTAGCCTGCATAAAGACATTCAATGTTCTAATTCTTTTATCTGCTCTGGAATAATTGATTAAAATTAAAATATGATGGAAGGAGTGGTTAACAGCTACTCAAGGTCTAGTCTAAGTCGTACATGTGAAAGGGTACACTTTTGCTGTATCACCGTGAACAATATATGGTGGGGTGGGAGATTTATCATGTTCGTAATTTTGCATTGTCTGTTTTAACCTACATTGGTACATCTTATGCTGATTAAGTATTATGAAATTTTGGTGTATAAAAAAGAAAGGTTTAGTTGTACAAGTTGCCTATATAGCTAGTTACCTTTTATTAAGAGTCTGTTTGGATACAAAGCTATAAGTATTATTGAGAGTTTTTTAAAGTTTCCTTACTGAAAAAAAAACTATATTTTTGTAGTAAAGAAGGTTTTAAAAACACTTTTAGCTTGTATCCAAACAGACCCTAAATTCTTTTGATGCCAAATGTTGACATAATAAACAATGAGCTCACCTGATAGCTTCACACCTTCATTGCAGATGTAGTCTTGTTGATTTGATGGTGGAAATTGATCGAATGTTGCGTCCCGAGGGATCTGTGGTGATAAGGGATGCTCCTGAAGTAATCGACAAAGTAGCTCGCATTGCTGGAGCAGTGAGGTGGAAGCCTACCATTTATGATAAAGAACCCGAGTCAAACGGCAGAGAAAACATTCTTGTTGCAACCAAGACTTTCTGGGAGCTCTAGTCACATCCCATTGACACAGCTGCGATTTAGGTAAATTCCCTTTTTCCATTCTCTTGGGGTGGAGGTGGTAGATATCCTCTTTATGCATCAAAGGGATGCTGTTTTCTAACTTAGTTCAATTTTCTCATACAAGAAGATAGTGTGGTTAAGATTTGAAAAGATGTAAGACCCTTATGCAGTTTTTACTTGGAAAATGCAATTCATTGTTGATTACATTTTCTCTCAACTTTAAGGATGTCAGATGTAATTCAATTTTTTTTTTATTGAAAATAAATTATCATTGATTCTAACTCAACTTCATTTCACCCTTTGTTCTGTTCCGTTTTATTTGTACTTTATTGAGAATTTTCGACATGCATTGAATATAAACACGTATTAGAGATGTAACATTTAATCATTTGCAAGTATTTTTATCATTCATATACTTTCACCCTACAACCTGTTGGAATTGTTGGTTCATGGCAATTTCTTATCCCAATTTTTCACCCTCTCAGTCATTACAGTTGAATCCAAGTGGTTATTATTCAAACAAAATTTTCCTTGATTTTAACTCTGGTCACAGTAAAATCTTTTAAAATAATCTTTGTACCCACAAGAGGATAACAGAAGAAACTGATAAAATTTTGCCAAGAAAACATATGAATGCTATAGAAAATCAGAAACTTCAGCATTGAAATTTCTCGAGCCACACATAAACCAAGAATAAGAAATGGTAATTTATTAACCCAGAACTATTTTTTGGAGAAGGAAATTTATTAGAAGTAAAATCTAATGTGAAGAAGATCAATTACATGTCAAATAGAAGTCACATATACTTCCTAGATATAGAAGAAAAAAAGGTAAATTAATCTTCCAAAACAAAGTACACTCAACTTCTCACCAAAAGCTGAAACAACAGAATTATTGTTTGCAACTTGGTAATTTCCAGAAACATTCAATATCGGGCGCATGAACAGACTATTCCAAGCTCTGTATCTCCTCCCTGGCTTCAGCTGCTTTGCGCTCTTCCAGTATCCGTTGTTTAGAGTAAGCTTTGGACCTTCAAATGTTCCTACAACATGCAAGCCACAAAATCTCATTAAAGACAAGGACAATAGCATAACAATTTTAATATTGTTCATAGTGCAGTATTTGTATTTTACTTACTCTTCATTGTTTGAAGGTCTTCGTATGGCTGGCATAACATGCAACAATCCTCCTTGCATGGTTGAATGGTCTAACGTATCTAGTGCCCTCCTGATAAACATTTATTATTCTATCACATTAGTTATTGGCAAAACAGTTTTACTGACACAATATAACAAGTACCAACCAAAGTTTTGGAGGAGCTCCAGTGTTAGAACATGTAACCGCTATCTAATGTCAAGTGCTGCTGGAACTCCAATTCTGTCGGCAGGGACTGTTACTGTTCATCACAGAAATGTTCATATAAATTCCAAGAGCATCTTTGAATCTTTCATATCATTACAACAACTTACACTGATCCAATAATACTCATAATTATGTTTTTTTTATATATAATTATTATGCATGTATGGTGTATGAGTATAATTTCTTATATAAAAATAGGCCTGTTCTGTGGCCCATATGCATTCAGATTTTCGTTAGCTGAAATGAAAATAGAAAAAAAAAAAAAAAAACGAAATACAGATAATGATGCTTTTTTTTCCTCTTTGTTAAATCATAAAGGCAATAAAAACAAAAGGAGAAAATAAAATTTCTTTCGTTGTTCTTAAAATTTTAATTTATTTTTTAAAAAACAATTCGATTCGTATTTTTTTATCCGCGTAATTCTTAGGTTCGTTTGTACAGGTGAATGGAAAATAAGAAAAAGAGAAAAAGAAAGTAAAAATAAAATAAAATTTAAATTGAGAATAAGGTGAAAAAAAAATGTGTCCAAAAGTAAATTTTTTCTTTCTTTTAAATTTTTTTTTGTTTACTTTAATCAAACAATGAGAAACTACCATTATTTATATTTATTCTATTTCATTTTACTTTCATTCAACGAACCAAACAGGATGATGATTCTCTCTCAATTTTGTAGGTATAGGAAAAAAAGTAGTCAAATCAGATAGGCAAAATACCATTTAATGAAAATGGTTCAGGACCAAGTATAATTTATATGCATAGTGTAAAAGTATCAAATTTTATTATTCATTTATGTAAATATATAAATATATATATATATATATATATATATATATATATATTGCATTAACATTGTATAATTAAACTAAATTTCAAAAATAATTTTACTTTATTAAAAAAATATTTATTATAAAATATATCTAAAACATCATTAAAAATCCTTGTAAATATTAATATCATTATTATTAATTAATATTCCTTTTAAAATTAAAACTATTTAAATTTCATTTGATATTAATGATTTAAAATGATAGATTGAATGGATATATCTTTTTTATGTTAATAATGAATTATTAAAAAAATTTAATTACAAACTCTATTAATAATTTCATGGATGATAAAAAAAATATTAAATATAAACTTTATCTAAACTTAAAAGAGAAAAAAGAATTTATTTATGCTTATAAATATGTGACCGACATATATATTTTTTTAGGTACCATATAATAAATAACATATCGTGTAATGTTATATAGACCTTACCATTATCATCCTTACAAACATACCATTAATATTTTGAATACCATTTAGATTGGTTTGAACTTGGGCCAGTGAAACACATAACATTTGACTTGTATTGATTTAAAAAATGAACAACGTTTGACTTATTAAAACCTAGATCTTCGTTCCTCCAATGTCGGCCAAGCTTTCGTTGATCACGACATCGTCATTGTTCGTATCTCACTGCTTTTCAAAATGGGTCTAAGATTCGGTATCTCCATATTGTATTATTTTTTTAAAAGTAATACATCGTTCTAAGAAAAACCCTAATTACGAGAATAATTATATAAATATTTTAAAAAAAATGCGTTAAGTTACGAATTTGCTGAAATATACTTAGATAAACACAAATAAATAAAAATACTAGCAAGACTAAATAAAGACATTAGACATTTAAAAAATAAACTTGAAAATAATTTGTTTGTCAAAAATTTCATGGAAACAAGACCTAGGAAGGGTATTCATTAGCTGCTCCTTTGTACAAGTATAACGAGGAAGTTGAAAAATCTTTAAATAAAAATATTGATAATATTTATCAATAGTTTTAGATTGTAAAATTAAATAAAATAAAGCTCAAATTTTATTTTATTTTTAAATAAATTAAACCAAACTTTCAAATTATTAAATAAGTAAAGATTACAAACTTTTTTTTAAGTCAAACCTTCATCAAATAAAATCGTTTTTGTATCCGTCTATATATAGAGAAGGTTTGGTCTTTTAGTTAATTATATAATATTTTTTATAATATTAAATTATATTAAATTGTAGTCAAGTAATATTTTTAAGAGTTATACACATTAAACTTTTTCTTTTAGTATTATGTTATTGTCAAATATACATCAGAAAAAATAAGTTATATTATTAGGGTTTTTTAGTAAAGTAAATAATTATTTAAATATATGAAATAAATAATTCATTATAAGGTAATAGTTGATTTAAAAAATAATAACAAATAAATATGATGAAACAAAAGCTAAAACAACAATAATAAATATTTAATAACCATACACTGTAAGTTAAAAAATGTATAATATCAATCAATTAGAATTTATTTTATACATTATTATAATTTATCATAAATATTTTATGATAATATACAAAAATAGAATTGTGCATACTAATTTCTACAATTATATTTCTTTAGAAAGGACAAAATTTCCCAAATTATAACAATAATAAAAAATTGGTTACATGAGTTTTTTTATGTGGAATTTAAGATTTTCAATTTTAGTCTTTTTAACTATTTTAATCCTTTGATTGTATTATTTTTTCCAACCTCTTGGAGTTTCATTTCATTTAATCTCTTTTTTACCATATTTAGTTCTCTTGCTTTGATAAAATAATTATGAACAACAAAAGTCAAAGAATGACTGAAAAATCAGACAAAAAAAAAATGAAAAGGACTAAAAGTGAAAATTTGAAATGTCTGAAGGACAGAAAAAAGTTATTATTTCAACCCTAAAAATTTGATCATGGCTAAACCCTAATGGTGGCTAGTATGTAAAAAAAGAAGGAGGGAGAGAGTGAAAAAGATGATGAGTAAGTAGTGTGGGTGGGGAGAGGGTAGCTTGAACAGAAAGGCAGAGCAGAACAGTTGTAGATGTGCTGGAACACGACATTGGCATTCATAAATGCAAAGAAATAGGCAAACCTAATCCACACCACCTTAGTGGTCCAAAGAAAGTGAAGGCTTTATGGGTGAGGAAGGTGTCCTCATCCTAGGGCTGAAAATTCAGTGTGAAAGCTCATGTGGGGTTCTGGGTCTTCCAACTTTATGTATATGCTCCTATATTTCAGTGCCACCATGACAGTGACTCATTCTTAATTTACAACTTCTACTCACCCTCTTCTTCTTCCTCATGTTTCATACCAATGTCAATTTCATATTTGTTCTGTGCATGCATCTTCACTTTTCATTTTTCACTTTCAAAAATTCTTGTCTGCATAATTTCTATTTAATTCTTGTGGGGATCTAATGCCTTAATAGATGAATTTGTTGGGCCATCTATGGAAATAACTGCTCTGACATGACATCTTGTTGGAAGATTGTAGTGGTCGTGGAAACCGTGTTGCAATATCAAAATTATAGTTGGATTACGTCTAAATCACACCACCATATTCTCCTTCTTTGCAACTATATATTACATATTAATTAAATCTTTCAAATTTTAATATGCATATTTCATTTTTTTTATCCTAACCAAATATTTTTGTTAATATATATTATATATATGCTAATAATGACTGAAGTATTGAGTTGATTTTTTCTTTGGTTTTCTTTCAATTTTGTGGAGATTACTTGTGATCAATTGACTAGTAAGACCACGTAGTTATTTATGAGATGTCACAGT